GCTGCTGCTGCTGCTGCTGCTGCTGCTGCTGCTGCTGCTGCTGCTGCTGCTGCTGCTGCTGCTGCTGCTGCTGCTGCTGCTGCTGCTGCTGCTGCGCTGCTGCTGCCTGCTGGCTGCTGCCTGCTGGCTGCTGCTGCTGCCTGCTGCCTGCTGCTGCTGCTGCCTGCTGCTTGCCTGCGCTGCTGCTTGCTGCTGCCTGCTGCTGCTGCTGCTGCCTGCCTGCTGCTTGCTGCTTGCCTGCTGCTGCTGCTGCTGCTTGCTGCTGCTGCTGCCTTGCTTGCCTCCTGCTGCTTGTGTGCTGCTGCTGCGCTGCTGCTTGCTGCTGCTTGCTGCTGCTGCTGCTTGCCTGCCTGCTGCTGCTGCTGCTGCTGCTGCTTGCTGCTGCTGCTGCTGCTGCTGCTTGCTGCTTGCTGCTGCTTCCGCTGCTGCTTCCTGCTGCTGCTGCTGCTGCTGCCTCTGCTGCTGCTGCTTTTGCTGCTGCTGCTTCCTGCTGCTGCTGCTTGCTGCTGCTGCTGCTGCTGCTTCCGCCTGCTGCTACTGCTTCCTGCTGCTGCTGCTGCTGCCTCCTGCTGCTGCTACTGCTTCCTGCCTGCTGCTGCTTGCCTGCTTCCTTCTGCTGCTGCTGCTGCTGCTGCCTCCTGCTGCTGTTGCTTCCTGCTGCTGCTGCTGCTTCCTCCTGCTGCTGCTGCTGCTGCTTCCTCCTGCTGCTGCTGCCGCTCGTGCAAACATTTTGCCGAAACAAAAAATAACAGTCTCGGTCGCCTTGTTTGGCGCTGACGGGAGGTACGGGCGGGAGACACCAGCAGAGAGAGGGAATGTTTCTGGCTGGTTGGAATGAAACATTGCGGTCGCATAGCGCGGTTGTGTCGCTGTGCTCACCATCTGCGCCATCTCGCACCATCTCGCAAGACGGCGCAGACGGCAAGACGGCGAAAGACGGCACAGACACAACAGACGGCGCAGACGGAGCACCGACAAAACCTGCCACGCTTTCCGCCCACAATGGAATGAAGGTTTTTTCCCAATTCGTAATTCCTGGGTGGATATAGGACTTCTTGAGAGCTGTCCACGACATTGATGCACATCGCGCCAGCCATAGATTTAGTTGCGGAAAACAAGGGGCCCCCATATCCTTATATCATCCTAGATCATAGCCCTGCCAATAGGATTTTCTACAGCTAACCCACTTGCATTGCAAGAAATTTGAGGCTGTACCAATAGGGGTTTGATTTGGTCACGCGACGCAGGACATCAATATAATATATTCAAATCCAATAGGATTAGCTGCCGAGAATTTGTTTGTATTAACTTGTGCCCTTCAAAATCATCGCTGTGCGCAATGCTTCGGCTATTTTTAACTACATCTCCAAGTATGGATGAAACAGGCTGTGCCATGGTGATTCTTCTTCCCTGATGTGACTTTCCACTACCTGATGTGACTTCTCCGTATCGCCGCCGTGCCATGGGGATGATGCGACTTTTCCCGCCTGATGTGACTTAAGTACGGTGTTAGTACGTTCTAAGTGATTGTCTGTCACTATACACAGTTTTTGCAATTTCAAGAAAACGTGGAAAGCACAAAACACTGTAAATAGCGGTGTTTTGGCCACTTTTGGACGCTGAAACGCTCGTATTTACACAGTTGTTTGCCCGTGACGGCGCCAAACCCCTGTAAATTACAGCATTTTTTGCACTTGTTGAACCGATTTTTTGCCTCGATGAACGCAAAAAACGCTGGTATTTACGCGTTTCCCAAAAAAATCGAAGATCGTGACGTGAACGAAACACTGTAAATAACAGTGTTTTAGCCACATTCGGGGACCAAAACTCTGGTATTTACGCGGGTTCTTGCCAGCTGACGGCGCAAAATGCTGTAAATTACAGCACTTGTGCGCTGTTTATGTTCAATTTTTAAACGCGCGATGCTTTCACATGTTCTTTGCATGACCCGAAAGAAAGCTGGAGGGAGGAGACGCACAGAAGCTTTTACCCACACACACAGGGGCTTTTACACAGAGAAGTCTTTACTCTAAGGTGCTTTTGCAGACAAACGTCTAGGAGCTTTTACACACAGAAGCTTTTACACGAAGAAGTCTTTACACAGAGGGTTTTTTACACACAGACGCGTTTGCACACAGAAGCTTTTACACAGAGAAGCCTTTACACAGAGGAGTGTTTACACACAATAAACCAGTGATGATGCAAAGAATAAAGAATGAATGATTGCTGAGTCACGCTGCTTTTTTTGTGTGTAGTGGCAACAACGTATGCATAGCATCCCGAACGTTGCCTTTTTTGGCTGAAGCTGTTAACTAGCAGTTTGGTCTGGCTCTTGCATGTTGAGCCCTCGAGTGGTCGTGACAACGCTTGCTGGTGCATCCTACTTTGGAAGCAGGACTTGGGGCACTGGGGTGGTTCTGAGATTGGTGGAGGCTGTAGTGTACTGGGTGATCGCTCGTATTGACTTGGCAACATCACGTTTGGTTTTGCAATCACAGCTTGCGTACTCATTCACATTCCTAACCACTTTATTGTGCTTACTGCTGAGCGGGACCGTCGAGATTCTCCACTTTGGTGATCTGGCTTTGTGGGCATTTTATTTATTGTGCAGAGGTTTGATTCGTTTTCTGAGTTTGATACACAGAAGTTTGCATCACATTTGCTTTTGCATTCTCTGCTCAACATTGTGCAAGCACAGCCCAGATAGACCGACGTCCACTCGTTCTTCAGACCATTTGAACCTGGCATGGACGCGGGGTCTTTTGTGCTCATAGCCCGTGAAGGAGAGTGGGACGAAGTGTTACTTATCACACACCACGAAGGCTCTGAGTGGTTGGTGTACTAAACTAGTCCTGACAGCTCACGTTTCATATGGAGCCTAGTAAGGATGACGCTGGGCAACTTCAGAGCAATAGATGGGAGAGATCAGCATCGGAGTGCTCCAGCAGGCATCCCAATGAACAGCATCAACTGGTTGTGCGAACCAGGAGATTTAGGTCAGAAGTGGACACCAAGCCCAGCTCAACTTGTGACCTTGTGTGCGGAGGGGAGGGTGATCATGGATATCGTGAAAGCAGATTCCAGCCCGCCTCAACGACACATTGCGGGGTCCAGGAGCGAGCTCATCGAGTTGGTCCCTCCAGTTCAAGCTCCTGCCCCGGCCGCTGCTTCTCCTGCTGCGGGGGGGGGTTCAAGCAAGACCCGGATTGGGGCAACAGACACAGCCCGATGCTTTGGAGTTACAGAAGCTGGCCGATGTGATCAACAGCCTGAGATCGGAGATCGAAGAGCACCAGGGCTCCCAGAAGAAGAAGAAGAAGAAGAAATCCTCCAAAAAGAATCGCAGCCGAAGCAACAGCAAAAGGAAGTCCAAGAAGTCCAAGCGCCACAGCTCATCCTCCTCCAGCAGCTCATCCCGGAGTTCAGGTACCAGCTCGAGCTCTTTCGTGCGCTGGAGATCCAAGGGGAAGAGCCGAGAGGTGAACGCAGTCTCAATGGGGAAGGTGGACACCAGGAAATTCAAGAAGCGCTCAGACCTCCTGATTTTTGCAGCCAAACATCCAGGGGCCTTGACGGCCAACTTCATCAATGCCATCCGCCAGAAATTGATGAGAGGTGGCATAGTGAAGACATCCCAATTGAGGGATGTGGAGATGACGGAGTTCATCACCACGGGGGCTGCAGGACTGAAGGAGGTGCGGGATCGGAGGGAGGCCATGACCATCCTTCAGGCAATGGACTTCATCAACCAGAAGGAGTTGGAGAAGGCAATGGACGTGCTGGCAATGAGGGTGACAGCTTTGTTGGAAGCAAAAAGCCAAGGAGGCACTTGGGAGAAGGCGGCAAAGAAGGAGCTGATTCCGGAAGAAGGGGCAAGCATAGCTCCAGCCGGACTCACTGGCATGGTTTAGTGGGTCGTGGGTTGTTCAGGCACCCTGATCTTTTGAGACATGTGGGAGCCGGTGAGCCATTGCATGATTTGACGGAGAATTTACTGGACTATGTGGAACTTTCGGGTGGAGCGTTGTCCAGAATGTTGAGACAGGGATCCTTTCCTTCGTTGCCTTCTCCTGTTGGGGTTAGTCCTGATGCTGTGTTTCCACTACCTTTGATGATGGCTTCCAAGATGCCACGGCGAGGTAGGGCCAGGCAGCGGGGCAAAACTAGGAATTCATTTTTACCTTTTGCTAATCTGGTCATTGTCTGTATAAATTACATGTACACTGGCTCAGAAGTGATTTCGCGGGCCACACCATGGGCGGCGCAGGGACGGGTGCACAAGTGCATTTTTCAACTGTCTCATACTTCCTTCGCGGCAACATTTTGGCCAGCGGGGAAGCAGCAATTAGGGATTACCTCCAAGAAGACCTCCATTCATATTCAGGGGGAGGTAGCCATGCATTGCCACTTGGGCTCAGGGCAGGCATTCCTGAACTGGCTGCTCAGGTGAATTTGTCAAAGGCTTTGGAACCATGGGATGTTGGCCTGGCTGAACAAGTGGAGCATCGTAGTGCACTACTCTTACGTGGTAAGGCCAAACCCAAAACCATACCGAGGCCTTTTGCAGGTTGGATGGAACCTATCCAGCGTATGTGAAACGCAATGCTCGAGCTGGATTACAAGTGTTGAAACCGCTCAAGAAGATCTACAAGTTTAAAGGTAAACCCCTTTTTAGTAGTGCCTTTGCTGTTGCTAAGAATGCTGAAGAAGACAGGGCGATTTCAGCACTTTGTCCGCTCAATGCATTGGTTGACACAGGGAAGATGTGGAAGCCTCGATTTGCTATCATGTCCTCTATTCGTGCTATGCACATTTCTCCGGAGCGTTGCCTACAAGTGTATAAAAAGGATGCACGTCATTTTTTTCACTACCTCAGAATTGGGCACCGGTGGAACAAGTACATGGCGCACCCACCTTTGACTCATAACCCACATGGAGCACAGCACGCCGTACATAGTAACAGTGGAGCTTCAGTATATCCTGCGCATAGAGGAGTGCCGATGGGCTTCACTGCGGCGGCTTCATGGGCCCAAGCCTACAAGGCAAAGGCGGTCGAAGTGGGACTCCCTCAAGATAGGCGGCTTATTGATGACAAACCACCCCCCAAGCATTTTCCAATTTGGGGCTCTATTCTCGATGATGTGTGGGCTTTAGATGAGTGCACCTCTGCTGAAGATCCTCCAGGTGTAGCTTCAAAATGGTTGGAAGACATAGCTCAAGCTTGGGGTCGGGATGGGGTTTTGGAGCATGAGAAGAAAGCTGTCCGTGGGGTCTTAAAAGAGGAAGTCCAATGGGTCATGATTGATGGCAAAGATGGCTGGGCTGGAGTTAGTATGAGCAAGCGGGCCTTGTTGCTGGAGGCTGGTCTTTACCTCCTGCGGCAGCAGCGTCCTCTTGTTGGAGAAGTAGACAGGTGGCTGGGGAAGTTGAGTTTTGCTTTATCCTTTCGAGCATGTGCAAGATCAGTGTTGCAAGATATTTACACTTGGTTGGCGCAACATCGTGGTAGGGTAAAGAGAGCTTATTTGTGGCCATCAGTTAGGGCTGAAATGGTAGTTTCTATGTGCTTAGTTCCTTTCCTTCACAGCAATCTACGCTCTGATTGGTGTGGGCGTGTTGAAGCTAGTGATGCTGCTCCTGGTGGCCATGGCAGGGCGTGGACCAACATGCCGACCACCATGGTTGCTGAGGCATCGCGGCTATGCACACACAAAGGGCTCCACACCAATTTGCACACTGAGCACGGATTGGCATCATCTGGTTTGTGTCCTATGCAACAAGTTAAACTACCAGTAGAACAGTTTCAATGGAGCACAGCTGCACGACGGGGTGGTTACAAACATATTACCCTGGAAGAAGCCATTGCCTTGAACTGGTCTTCGCATGACAGGTTGAAACGTCCGAGTGAGTGCGGGCAGCGGGTCGTGCACTTGGTGGATTCAGCTGCAGCAGCTGGAGCGTACACGAAAGGCAGAAGTGCCTCTAGGCGTCTCAACGGTTGCTGTCGTCAAGCCTGGGATATTGTATTGTGTTCTGGCATTGATCCCTATTTTGTCTGGGTTCCAACAGATGCAAACCCAGCAGATGAACCTAGTTCACGTCATGAGATAAGGGCTGGCACTGTGCGCACTGTTCAGCCTCAAATTACCCAAATGGTTGGACTCGATCATGTTTTTGGGGTTGATAGTTGCTGGGAGCGTGAGGAACCTTGGTTGCAAAGAGGGTTGGCAAAGGTGTCTGAAACTGCCTACAAGCAACAGCTGCCGGATATTTACGTCCGCCTTTGCTCTGGAGCTTTTCGATCAGGTGATTTTTGTGATTGTATCCTTCGACGAGCAAATCGCCAGGGCATTAGTTGCTGCCTTTTAAGGATTGACCCTATTCTTGACCCTTGTTTGGACTTAACAAATGGTCTTCTGGTTGAGCAACTTCGTGAGCTTTGTATTCAGGGTCGGATCAGGGCTATGCTCTGCAGCCCTCCTTGTAGTACCTGGTCGCGAGCAAGGCATGTTCCTCTAGCGAAAGGCAGGGGACCTCGTCCTTTGCGTAGCCGCGCTGAACCATGGCAATGTTTACCAGACAGAACTGACCAAGAAGTTAAATCATGTCAACTGGGTAGCGTTCTCATGCTGGCATGTATTTACTTACTAGGCTTTGCGAAACATTGTTGGAGAGCTTTGGAACATCCCAGAGATCCAGGGCGGCCACCATACCCTTCAATTTTTACATCCTCTGCGGCTGCACTGCTGAGAAAACAGGGGATGACGGATGTTCTTTTTGACCAGTGCTTCTATGGAGCTTTTGCTCGCAAGCCAACACAGATGTTGCTTCCTAAAGATGATTCTATTGGTAGCCTGCACGGGAAGTTTTGCACTCATGTTTGGCATGTACCTCATATAGGTGTTGATTCCAAAGGCAAGTTCATGACAGCACCTCTTGCTAAGTATCCACCAAATTTGTGTGATATGTTAGCAGATATGGCTTGGCAATACTCAGCGCGTGCTCCTCAGACCCGTGACCATGGAGCTTGGGAATATGCCTACAAAGCTGCAGCATTTCCTTTTGAGCATCCTACAGAGCAGATCCCGACAGCTATACACCAAAGCTCTGCACGACTTCAAGGCTGAGGTTGATGAACGACAAGTAGACTGGATTCAGTTCAGTGAGGAAGAGCGTGATATTTTCTTAGCCGAATACGTGCTGGAGGTCAAAGAGGGAGGTGGCAAGCGACAAGCTTGCCAAATCCTACGCGCTGCACTTCACAAGATATTTCCACGACGTGTCTATACCATTACCCGCAAAGTCTTGGAAGTTTGGAAGGGTGAAGAGCCTTCACACCAAGCTCCAGCTTGTCCTTCAGAGGTGGCATTTGCTTTAGTTGCTAGTTGTTTAGCTCTCGGCCAGGCCAGTATGGCTGCATGCATTCTGGTGTGCTTTACCGGTCTGTTGCGGGTTTCTGAAGCATTGCAACTGCGATGGCATGACATGATTTTTGTCGACCAAGTTGTGGTGCTTATGCTCGCCCGAACTAAGCGTGGAGTTGACCAGAAGGTGGTGCTGACTCATCTTACTACAGCGCAATGGCTGCAATTATAAAGGACAAAGTTTTTCACTGGTGATGGTGATAGGATGTGTCCCCTCTCATACTCCAAAGTGCGATACTGGTTGCCTAAGCTCTGCAAGGGGCTGCGATTGGAACATTTGGCTTTTACCTCCCATTCGTTTCGGAGAGGTGGCGCTAGCACTTTGCTGCACCACGGGGTGGCTTTAGCAGACATCGCCGTTCATGGTAGATGGGCTTCAGAGTCCTCATGTCGTGAGTACCTTCGCCGTGGTGAGATGTTTTTACTGCGTTTCCAAGCCTCAGTCAATGAAGATGTTTGGGCCAATGTCCTGCTCTCGTCAAAATCTACGAATGCCCTGCTCTTGTCAAAATCTACGATGGTTCTTCTTTCTGCTTTTGTTGTAGGCTAACGCTCTGCAGGAGGGGTGGGAGAACACGATGGAATCTGGAACCGTGGTTGAATCCATACTTCCATTTTTTCCAGTCTTTTGGCATTGCCCTCCTTAGGGCCCTTGGAGCAGGATGCAGACGCATCAACAACAGATTGAGGAAAACACTAACGTGAGCTGCTGCTTTGCTCGTGGTCACCTTGGCTGTTCAGATGCAGCCTGGGAAGGGTTGAGACACACGATCACCACACAAAATAAACCAGTGATGATGCAAAGAATAAAGAATGAATGATTGCTGAGTCACGCTGCTTTTTGTGTGTAGTGGCAACAACGTGTGCATAGCATCCCGAACGTTGCCTTTTTTGGCTGACCCCTTTCACCCTGGACCATCCCCTGCACTCTTAAAGAGTGTCGCTCTGATCACCTGTGTCATGAGCGGGAGAACACGATGGAATCTGGAACCGTGGTTGAATCCATACTTCCATCTTTTCCAGTCTTTTGGCATTGCCCTCCTTAGGGCCCTTGGAGCAGGATGCAGACGCATCAACAACAGATTGAGGAAAACACTAAGGTGAGCTGCTGCTTTGCCCGTGGTCACCTTGGCTGTTCAGATGCAGCCTGGGAAGGGTTGAGACACACGATCACCACACAAAAAAGCGTTTACACACAGCAAGTTTTTACACACACAGGGGTGTTTACACAGAGAAGCCTTTACGCAGAGTAGTTTTTTACACACAGAAGGTTTTACACAGAGAAGTCTTTCCTCTGAGGAGTTTTTTCACACAACGTCTTGGAGCTTTTACACACAAAAGCTGTTACACAAAGAAGTCTTTACACAGAGAGCTTCACAGAGAAGTTTTTACACAAAGAAGTCTTTACACAGAGAAACTTTTACACACGGAAACTTTTACACACAAAAGCTTTTACACTGAGAAGTCTTTGCACAGAGGCGCCTTTACACAAGTTGAAATTGGCAGCAGTTCTTTAGGAAAAACCCTTCGCAGGAGCTTTCGGGAACTCACTTGCTCCCCAAAAAATCGTCGATTCCAACAAATATGTTCCAAAAAACCTAAGGAATATATTTCTGAAGCAGGTCCTCATTCAGTAACTTTCACGCCCACACTGCGATGAAATGGAGGGCCGAGTGGTCCGGCGGAGCCGACGATGAGCGTCAGCTCAAAAATATGCTGAAGATGGGGGACCACGAGGAAGTTCAGATAATATCAGAGAATAAAGATAACATGAGTTATGTAAGGATAACACCTGAAGGTAGAGAGATGCTTTAATCTGCTTGAATAATCAAAGTGAAGCTCGAAAATATTCCAAAACAGTTAATGGATTCCCCAGGGTTCTTTAAAGGATCATTTTTTGGATGCTGGCCAAGAAGCAAGAGCTAGCAGGACAGCGGAGGCAGCTTCGCTGGAGGGTGCAGGATGGGGCAGGCAGAGTGTTTCCGCCGTAAGAAAAGTTCAGATAGCCTCATTTGAAGAGCGCACGGAGACATGTTACTTGAGATAGACATGTGAAGACAACCCGTTGCCAAATTTGTAGATTTTGATTAAATGGCATTATCACCTCTAATGCATCGCCTTGTGCTTGCTGAATCCTCTTTCCAACCTGCAGGCTGACAATCCGCAGAGCTGGATCAGGTGCCAAAATGTCCCCAGCGAAAGAAACCAAATTTTAAGCCAAACCAAATGATCCAAATACGATCCAATGGCTTGCCACAAACTGGTTAAGAGATGTTGAGGGTCACAATCATGAACCAAAAAGAGTTTGCTGAGCACAGCGCGGTTGGGCAGTGCTTGGACGGTGTGGTTTGGCTGTTGGACTGCAGGCTTGCAACGGCCACGATCTGTGTACCCGCGCAGCTTCATGTGCTGCGCTTGGTTCAACGGCCATTTCAAGAACCTAAATTGGAGGTACCTACCATATAATTTAATATATAATAAATATATATATATTTATATTTATTTATTTTAAAAAAAAGAGGCCTATGTAGGGGAATATCCCCACCAAAAATTGGCCTTACATGGTACACCTCCATTTTTGGGTCCTGAAATTTTCACTCATTGGTCAACATGCGTTTGTCTGCACCTCACCTTTGGGTGGCTTAATGAAGGGCGAAGTGACGCCTCATTGCCAGCGTGGACAACAATATTAGAATTATATAGAATGCGCGCATCGTGCAGCTAAGATAAGCTGAGGACTTTGGTTTTTATCAGCCAACTCAGCCAGCGTTTGAAGAGTCCAAGTGGCGAAGGTGGGATTGGGACTGTCTGATCTATTGATCTATTTCCTATCTATTTGCGATTTGCGACTCACTATGTTTGTTTCAGTTTTTGTCTCGTGGCCTCCTTAAAAATTGGTGTTGCTGTGAAGATCTTCAACATACTTTTGCTCATGTGGGAAAACTCATAACGCTCTAAGAGATCCAAGATCTATGCACTGCTTTGCCATCAAGCCATGGCCATGGGTTGTCATGGTTGTCACAGATATGTTTGATCATGTTTGTCAATGGTCACACGATTGAAAGCATGCGCACGTATTGCGCCAACGAATTTCAGTCCATTGCGTCCCTCAATGCCCCTTGCGCAAGACTCCGGAAACATTTGCATCCAATTTGCTAGTACAGGTATCTGCAGATGGATTTCTATGCGTTGCGTAAATCCATCTACTATATAGCCTCTGCAGATCGAAATGACATTCGCCCAGATTGCGGCTTGCGGATGACATCGCAAATCAAGGACATAGAGCCAAGGGATGCCTAGAAAATCTTGGAACATGTGCTCAATGTCATTCAATATCGGTGCGTGTGCTTCATAGAACTTAGCGCGGGATCAATTTGTCACATGGAGCAAGGACGAGAGAGAATCACACTGATTTGTGTAAGAGGTTCTTACAAGTTGCATCTATTGCATTGGTGTGTAGGCTTCCTGAAGCATATCTTTATTATTTTATATTACAGTAAATTATATATTATGTATATATATATACTTAATGAAAGCTACATATAGGATGACTGTTTTTTGAAGCTTGTCACTTGAGGATGTCAGATGCTACGCATGGGTGTCATCAGGGGGACACCTTGAAGTGCGAAATAGATCGTCGCTTGGCCGGATTGAGCTTAGGGTGGTAAGGAACGGTGGGCTGGGCGGGCAAGTTGATGCACTGCAAGCTTTTACTGCGCTCACATTCGTTACCTTTCTCAACGTTTCTTTTTCCACATGTACATGTGTGTGTGTAGACAGAAACCACGTGGAAAAGATGGGTGCAAGCGCCCCAAGAGGTCCAGTACTTTAGCTGAGCCTAGACACGTCTTCTTGCACCCATTCCTGGCTCAAAAATGTTTGTTGCCCCATAAGAGAATGCATGTCTGATCTGATGGTTGAGTATGTTAAGCACACATGCACACACACAGTCATGAAGTTTCGTCGTTTGATACTACAATCTTCAAGATATCAATTTAAGCACAAGGTTCGTCCGACCTATTCTGTCTCAGTCATTCTGGATTACGAACAAGGGAAAAAAGCGTGTGTAGATAAGAAGGCAGTGTATGCCGGTATTGGCGGGCTTTGACTTTAGGTACCAATCCTCTTACCTTGTTCTTAGCTTCCTTTTTCAGATTTTGACGTGGCTCCAGCCTCACACTAAACAATTTATAGACCGACAAATTGTAATTCTGTATAGTTTGGTCCTGCTGCATCAGTGGCCATGCGACCGCATGACAAAAGGATCAAGATGGCCATGGAAAGGCGCGAGGATGCCATCGAAGCCTTCAAAAGAGGTCGTCTCATTGAGGCAGATGAAGCCTACGGTGAGGCCATCCAGTGTGTTGAGGATCAGGGCGGACCCGGAAGACTCGGAAGACCCAGATCAATATCTGGGCAAGAACATGAGGAGCAACTTTTGGCAGATTGTCTCTCAAACCGTGCCCAGTGCATCCTTGATATGGCCCAGGGAAAAGGTATTCTTCCGGACGGAACACCTTTCTCATCCCAGTTCGAGAAGAAGGAGCACTTCGAATACTTCAAACGCCAAGCCCTACAGCAGGCGGAAGAATGTGCTGAGAAGGCGTGCTTGGTTTGGTGTGATGAGCGAAGCTTATTCCGACTAGGACTGGCCAGGATGCTGACGGCTCAGACTGCTCGAGTCGAGGCCTTGTGGGTCATGAAAGAGGACAACAACGAGATTATGAAAGATGCCGGAAGGTGTTTCCTCAAAGCATTGAAGTCGAGACCAAATGCTCAAACAGAAAAGATGCTGCAAGAAGTGAAAGATTGGCTTGCTCAAAGAGATGTCTTTACTTTGTACCCTGAGTACGTTTGAACGTTTCCTCTCTGATTAGAGCTTGCAGTATGGACGTCCATGGGCCTAGATTGGACGCCACATCCTGTAGCAACTGCCACTAGCAGCCTTTACGGAGAAGACCCGAGCTTGGTGCCGGAAAAAAAAGAGCGAGGTGGAATCTGGATGAAACTTATCAAAGTTTCTTTTCGCATCCCTTGTCTTTCATTACATCAATCATCAATGAGTGTGAGCAATATCATGGCGTGATGAAGTAGATCAAGTGTGAGAAACGTAGAGGGAAACAAGATTATAGCACCTGCGATGGCATTGCCAAAAGGCTGCTGACCAAGCACCCCAAAACATGATAACAAGAAAGACGGGTGTAGTCTGAGATTGCCAAAGTGCAGCAACATCAGATCGCCCATGCATTGAAACAACCAGATGAACGCACCAATGGACAATGCTCAAAGCACTGCAATCGTCAGCGGCCGTGTGACCAGGCCAGACCTGTACAGATGGCCTTGACCGCAAGTGAGCTTGACCCGTAGTGGCTGACGGCTGAGGCAAGGTATTTTGAAGATTTCAGTTGCAACACTTGCGACATGTTGAGGGGGGGTTAGCCCGAACTTCACTGGACGTGTTGTCGTTGATCATCTGATGTTGGGACATCAGCTTTTTAAAGGCAACTTTTAGCGCAGACACCTCGCTTCGCCCAACATAACTTCATCACTTTAGGTTTCAGGTTGTCGGGTTTAAGAATCTGGGCTGTAGGGTTTAGATGGTTTTAGGCTTAGGTGTTTTGCGTTTAGGTGTTTTCTCTTGATTTTCTCATGTTTGTTGGAGTCTAGGGTGTAGGGTTTTGGATTAATTAGGGTGTACGGCCCGCAGTGTGCGGCTTTAGGCTTTAGTGTGATAGGGTTCAGGATGACTTGTGCATACTTGTGCAATGTTGCACGGGTCCCCTACCTGAGCTTTTCAGGAATGCCAGAACGACCCTTAATTTATATACAGTGTTTTGAGAGTGCCACAGGCAAAACGAGGTGTTTGGCCGTAACTTTTTTCATGCCAAACATGTCTATTTAACTTAACGCGTGCTCTTTGTTCGGAATAGTCATACAACTTCATCCGCTTTTTCATCTGTCATAACGTTATTTTTTGGTATCCTTTCAACTTGAAGTTGAAGAAAACGACCCTTACAAGGAATCGCGCGGCCGATAATCTTACATGTCAGGCTACATGCCCGGAGTCAACGACGAAGTATTTTGAAGGCATTTCCGAGGACTAAATTTGTGCATCATTCTCTGCATGTAGTGTACTTTATGCATCCGCCATCCGCCATCGAATCCAAACCTGAAATTGGATAAAATATGATTTAAAAAATTGCATGAATTGGTTCTTTAAATTCGCAGTGCGTCTTTCAGTAACCTGATCTCCACCAACCACGGTCACCTTTTTTACATGACCTTGGCAGTTTCTTTTGCCAATGGCCGTCAAAATGCCTTCAATGCTTTGAAGGGGGCCTTTGAGCAGCGTAGCATCAAATGTGTGCGCAAGTGCAAGTCAACTGCAAGTAGCGTAGCATCAAGTATGCGTCCAAATGCAACAGGAATTTAACAGCCCCCCACCCACCCACCCACCCACCCACTTCACCCCGTCCGAACACCATGAGACTCGCGTAAACGCCCATGTCTACCCAACATGTTGCAGCATTCAGGTTCAAATTGCTAAAGCAGGGTTTCATGGTTCGCACAGGTGGCCCCAATGCAGCTGGCACACTCAGAATGTGGAATTGGGTGGAGCAGTTGCCACTCACCAACTTTTAGCAAATTGGATCTACTAGTACTAGTAAGTTTCAAATCTGTTTGAATTGCGTCGCCTTGAGGACTCGCTATGACTCATGTATAAAATAGACTAAAATGTTGAGTCTATGATTATACGATATAATATGATTCATTGATGTCAATTGGATTTTGTAGAGGTAGGACATCAAGTCTAAATTTTGTGGTGTAGACTTCCAGGTTTGCCAGACTCAAACCAAAACCAAGGCACACAGACGACTTAGTTTATTTGTCTGGCATCTCAAGACCTGCAGGTGCGGAGGCATCCGATTGGCTGACCGCCCAGACGCATGGGCCAGCGATCAGATAGCGCTTATCTATTGAACATTACTAAACCTATTTGGATGAGCGTGCAGCAATTGAGTGTAAGAATACTTTTTGTAGACATGTGCAACGGAGTCTGAGAACAACATACTGTCAAAACTGATGCTCAACCACGGCCGCAACTTCACATCATGAGTGAAGCTGCACTGCTCACAATACTGCACAGGCTTGCACGGATGATATGAATGGTGAGCTTGAAGTGCTGCATGATATTTCTTCATGTTTGAACAAGGTGGTCCAAGGCCAGACAGCAGAGACGTGGAGTGCTACAACTGTGGGAAGAAGGGCCATTTGGCCAAGGACTGCAAAGGTCCTCCCAAGTGCAAGCACTGTGGAAAGACTGGGCATCTTGCAAAAGATTGTTGGCAGAAAGATCCAAGTAAGAAGCCAGCAGCAGCTGCTGCGAAACCAAAGGCTGCTGCTGCACCAAAAGCCACTGCCAAGGCCAAGGGCCGAGGTAAGGGCAAAAGCCGTGGCAGAGGCAAACTGCGAGAGCTTGCTGAGGGTGCAGCAGAGGACTTTGAAGCAGCTGAAGAGGATGGTGAGCCAGAACAAGAGCAGGAGGGTGACCAGGTTGCTATGGCAATCAAAGCTGTGAAGTCTGCATCAGCAGTTGGTGAGGCCATGGGGGCCACAGGCACGTCGAGTACTGAGAGACCGGCGACACACCACCTGAGCAGCACACTGCAAGAGTTTGTAGGTAGTGTAGGGGTAGGAGATCCCAAGACCTACTGGCTGGTAGACTCAGGGGCTACATGCCACATCGTTTCTGAGAAGTGGGTCAAGCACTACACTGTGAGTTTTCAGTATCCTGGTCCATCTCCAAGCTTGAAGGGTGCAGGAGACAATGATCTGCCTGTCAAAGGGGTTGTAGATCTGGAATTCAGCATAGGTAAGCAGAAGATTACCATGAAGCGTGTAGTAGTGGTAGTGGTAGGAATTCCTTTGAATGTGATCTCAACTTATGCCCTTTTGGAATCTGGTTGGAAGACCGTCCTTGGCAATGCTGAGGAGAGTGGATTGTTTTTGAAGAAATTGAAACTTCCTTTGAAGATTTCTGAGAGGGCATGGTGGCTGAAAGTCAGCTTGCTTCAAAAACGCAAGAGTGGTGTGAAGGGTTCTGGACCAGCACCAATGGACTTGAGCACCATGAACACTGGAAACACTGTGAACACAAACAGCACTGAAACGAAACAAACCAAACGAAACACTGACTGTGGTTGCCGTTCAGTTGCAGCAGTTGTCCCTGAAGATGTTGTGGCTAAGGACCTGGTAACTAAGGGAACTAAGGACTCTCTGGCTAAGGACCCTGTGAATCATGTTGCCACTCAGGAGGTTGCGCAGGTCACCAAGGGTAGGTCAGGAGGTTCTGCCAAGGTCAAGGTCAAACGTCGGGAGCTTCAGATGAAGAGTGCTGACATGTTGCAGTCGTTTTCCTATGTTTGTAGGATGTTTCATTTTGGAAGCCGTCGTATGTTTCAGCATGTTTTTGTTGATCATGAGCCCAATACTGTCAAAACAGACACAAACGTTGAAACAAACGATCAAACGACAGACAGTGATGATGATTTCATGTCATGTTGTGAGTTTTGTCAAGATGATCATGGCACATCTGGACACATGGACTGGGAATACCATGATGGGAGGACAGGTTCAGGTCAATCTGATCGGGAATGCAGGTGTGACTGGACTTTTGTGGGCCCTTGTTTCAGGATGTTGCGTGGTTTTCCTCAGGTGGAGGACTTGACACAGGATGACGTTGATGACAACGATGTCCAAGGTGATGTGCCTCAGGGAGATGAGGTCTCTGAAGTTGAATCCCCGTCACTTGCCAATACAGAAGATTTGGAGGGTTGGGGTCCCCATGAACCTGGTTTGCCAGAACGCCCAGGCACCCCAGACGGTCCAGAGGGATCAGATCTGGAGTGCAGTGTCCCTGAACTGGGTGATGGACGTCTTAGGCTGGAACATGAGTGCAGGGGCCATTGGCCTTATGACAGGGGATGTGATGATTGCGTGCAGTCAAGGAGACGCACACCTGCTAGGAGAGTAGGTCATAAGCATAAAACACCCCACAGTCTTGCTGCTGATTTCCTTTTTGTAGCTGGGAAATGAAGCGGGCACCTCAAGCCCACATTACAGCAACGTCATTGGGCCTGCATGGTTTCTTTCTACCACAAATCAAACCCAAAAGAGCCTTCATGCCACACATTGCACTGCTGAAATTTTAATAAGGTTGAGATTGTAAAAATAACCACCAAAGACCCAAATGCGCTGCTGCGCATCAATGACGCTGGTGTGACCATTGCGCTTCATCCGCCTCAGGTTCGAGGGGTGGATTGGCGCGACCGTGTTGGTCAAAAGTCCCCAGGGTTTGTTTCAGGATGCCCCATCTCAACTTGCATACCTGGGGATCGCGATGGAGTCTGGCACCGATCGACTTCCAAGAAGGACGGGACTTTGTGTCCTGTTTCATACTCATCAGCTCTTGATCATCTGCGTTGGTCCATGGACGGAATGGTGGGGCGCGAGGTGGATCCATTGGATTTGGCTGAAGGATTCTCGGTGGTGGCGATGCTGGTGCTTTGGGATTGGGAGTCAACGTGATCGCAGAAGTGCCAGGAGGAATGGTAACATGAGATGTAGCTTCGTCACGATGGGCGTAGTGGGTTTCAGTGTCATGAACAGAAGCCGCTGTTGATGCGCCATCGCCGTCAGAGTCATCAGAATTGAGGGCATTGATAGCAGCTTCTGTGGCAATTCGAAGCGGACCAGGAGTGGCAGTGTCGTTTGCCCTTGACACTGGGGTATCCGGAGGGTTGGACACTTTTTGTCTCTTCTTTGGTTGTGGGTCAATGGTGGACGAGACCCTTTGTTTGGAACGAACTGGAACTGGGATTGTGTTCCGAGATATTTCACTTCCAGGTGTAATGGTAGAAGGATTGCCTGGATTCGGATTGGGGTCCGTCATGAGGACTGGGCTGTGAATGCCAACAGGG